CTCAAAAGTTGGGCGTGAAAAGAAAATATTTTCGACAATCCAATATTCAGTAATGGCTCTACAAAGAAACTTGCTTTGCCTGGATGTGTCACAAGGCCATTTCAAATGAAATGAATCATAATACCAGGACATTGAACCCAAATCTGTGGTTAAGTTTCGACTGCAGTGGAAGTGTTATGTTGGTATATATATCCCAAGCATCTTGTTTGAATGGTCCGGAAATTGCTTTTTCTCGAGGACCACTTTTTTGATGAAAGCAGGTTAAGGAATAAGGCTCATTTTGAAAGATTTGAGTTTAATTTTGGAGACTTCAATTGGATGGAGATTAAGGAGAGAAGATTACCTCTTCAAGGGCTGTTTTGTAATGAAAGTCTTTTTTTTTTTCCATTCTTGATCTGACTTGATTCCATGATTTAATTGACAAATTAAGATTATTCCTATTACTTTGTACTGATCCAGTAATTAGTTGATTAATTGGAGAAATAACAGCCTTACAACTTCTAGACTTATATAGCTCTTCCGTGCCTTCGTTGCGGCTTGCTGGGAATTGTGAATATGTCATTTGGGAACTTTTGGCACAAACAAAAATGCTGATTTAGTAATATTTTTAGATATTTCGTCATTTCCAACTTGTAAAATTTAGAAATTTTTTAAATTGGGAATTTATTGCTACTTGTGATGTCAATGTAGTGTTCTTCTATACAATTTGCACACACACACACGTGGTGATGTATGGGCTCACGAAGTGATGTATGTTGAAAGTTTTAATTGTGAAGAGGGTTGAATTGTTTTATTGTTTTTTAGGCTAATTATTGAACAATAGACATATATCATGCCTCTTAAATATGAGAATGGCGCTTGAAAAAGAAAAAAAGGAAAGAGGAGGCGGAGGTAACATCGATTCAAAGTCAAGCATGACATATGGATGAGTACTTCAATCGAAATAAAAGAAGAGGGAAGAAACAATGAAAAATTTGGGGATTGAACAACATGAGAATGACAATGTGATTAAAAAAAAAAACCAATTAGAATGAAGAAGCAATTCAACATGCCAATGTAAATGAATCAAATGAGGTTGAGGAAGTGATTCAACTGTCTACGTGAATGAACAGAATGAGAATGAGGAGGTAATGTTCACGATAAAAATTTAAATCGGGAGGGTTGATATTCTGGGAATTTTGAGGATCTTGGGAAATAGAAAAACATTGATCAAATATGAGGAATTATTGAGTTGAAAACTTGAATTGAATCCAATAAGGACTGATGACATCTTGTTTCCCAAAGATGGTACAACTAGACATTTTAATTCATCACAATAAAAAAGACAATTGATGAAAGCGTGCAATTGGAGGTGAAGAAAGGGAACATTGGATACAAGTACGAGGATAATTAGTATTGTGAAAATACTCACCAAAAACACCTTCTGCATTTCAAGATGAGGAGAAGTTTTATGTTACATATACATAAAGGTTGACACATTGGTTTAAGTTGACAAATTTTGATACGTTGATCTTGATAACACTTTTTCCACTCAACTGTTAGATTTTTGACACAGAAATTAAGGTGTAGACTTTGTGTTTACGGGTACTTTAATCCTAGACCAATAGCCTCTTTTGGCATGTAAAGCAAGTGATATTCAGTATACATATCTTGGGTTGTGTGGACAACAAAATTGATGAAACTAACTTTCAATCTGCTGTAACAGAAGCTAGAGTTGATAGACACAAAATGTGCAAAAGAACCTCCCTCGAGTTGGACGAGTACCAAACAAACAATATTTATCACAATCAAAGTTGTGCAACATTAATTCCAATTTAGTAAATAGTTTCTCTCCGAGCAAACACCAACTACTACCTAATATATTTCAACTTGTGCAAACATGATGAATTCCATCAAATTCAAGATTTTTTTCCTAAAACAAATAACATTTATTTCAACTATTGACATCAGCAACTAACCTAAATCAATTTTAATATTACATTATCACAAAAGGAAATTTCACATTTCAATAATTTGTTCTCAATGCAATTGCCAAATACAAACCACTTCTTAATGAAGCTAATCAAATTTTTAATCAAATAATGCAATTTTTAACAATAGATGAGAGCACACAGATTATATTAATTAATTTAATATCAAGATTTATAACTAGCACCATTGAATATAACAAAATCAAAATTCATCAAAATACCAAAATGTAGTAGCAGAAACATAGTTTTTCTCTACTTGTTTAATTAAGATGAAATATTTAATGTCAGAAACAATAACAAACTCAAAGATTCCGAAGTAGTTGAGAATTAACCAACTAATCAACGGTCTGCATGATGTCCTCGGCGGTGAATTTGGTACCTTTGTCCTTATCCGCGGCGGCGCGTCCCTTGGCCTTGCGGTCGAGAAGCGACTTGCGGTCCTTGTCAAGGCGGAGCTTGGTGATAACAACCTTGGAAGGATTAATCCCCACATTCACAGTGGATCCATTAACCTTCTCCCTGGTGATCCTTTCCACATGGATCACCCATTTCTTGCGGTACACCTGCACTACCTTACCCTCGCGGCCCTTGTAGGTTCCTCTGACCACTTGCACCTCATCGTCCTTGCGTACCGGCATCGATCGAACGTTGTACTTGGTCCGGAGGTCGGAGGAGAGTGGGGCGCTCATCAGTACACGGCGGACACTCGACGGCGCCGTGAAGTGAGCCTTCCGGTTCTTCCGCCGTGAAGAGGTGACTCGCGGATTGTACTTCATTGTTCCGGTGCGGCGGTTTCTCTCACTTGCCTCTGTGTGGGGATGCGGCCTACGAAAAATTGAGGGTCAACTTTAGGGTTTTAGGACTTCTTAAAAGTGTCTACATTTGTTAAACGGTGCCGTTCTGATTAGGGTTCTTTCGAGCTTGCCGATCAGTGTTTGGACCAAGAAATGAATTAAATGGGCTTTTTGTTCCTTTAGCTTTCGGACTTTGGATACGATCCAGTAATTTATTTTGAGAACATTTATAAATAACCCTAAAAATTGTATATTGTGCTACTTCAATCAGTTCAATGTTAAATTTTGCTCCTAGCCCTTAAAGAAAACTAACAATGGGGTTCTTAATATCCAATTTTAAACGTTTTTATTGAAACTTGCTAGTTATTATAAGAGCCAATATATTTTTTTTGAACTGCTCAAGAATTTTTTTTTTTAAGAAAAAGAGAAGTATCTGAGTGGAACAAAAAATACGCTATACTCGGTACATCAATCTCCCGTTTAGGAAAAGAGGAGGAGCAGATATTCCTTACTCCATTCCTTCTTCCGTTAGAATAGCAAATAGGGACGAAAACGTCTTTAATCCATAGTGAAAGGAGCTCGCTTGGTCTCTCGCTTTCCTCTAAAGCCATGTTTGATTGTATTTCAATTCCATGGAATATGGAAATTAAATTTCATTTTCCACATTTTTGTATGCTTGACTATCTAAATTTTTCATGGAATTAGTTTTCCATCTTTCACCCATATGCTCACATTCTCTTGATTTTTGAGGAAAAGTTTTTTCCATCACTTTGGTGGGAAAAACTTTTCTAGGCAACTTTTTTTTTATTTTTTTGCAATGGAAACAAATTATATCCTCAATTATAACAAATTATATCTATTTAATGAATAATTTTCATGAAAACAAAGCCAAATAAATACCAAAAGATCCAAATTTTCAATATTTTTTAGATGAAAAATTATATCAATCGAACACAATTAATTGACAATTCTCAGTAAAACAAGTTCTAGTCAATTCAATTTTCTGGAATTCATTTTCTCAAGGCCGGCCCTAAGAATATTGAGGCCCTAGGCAATTAATTATACGAGGCCCTTAAACATATTTTTTTTGCAAGCGTAACAATACTTAAATATTTAAAT